CGCCACTAAAGCCATTCAGGTGGGTAGCCGTTCCACCCCTTCTCTCGCTGTCTCTCTCTCTCGCTCTCCATCTGTCTGTCTCTGTCTCTCTCCCACAGATGTCATGGCATTTGGGGAAAAGAATTGCATAGCAATCGGAGACTGTAAAAGCTTATTTTGTTGTCAAATAACTCAAGATCCAAAGTGCAATCGGAGGGAGTTCCTTATTTACCGGAGCGATTTTGATCACTCCTTTCTTAAAGTATGGAATTTTTAAATTTGCACAGGTATTGCTTTCCGTATAACTGATTCACTATTTCCTACGTCATATTTAGGTATAACCACCAAATGATATTGATATTATAACCAGATAACGGTCCTAAAGTATAGTAGGATTTTATATATATATAACACACACACAATATATATATATATATATATATATATATATATATATATAGTATATGTATGTGTGTGTGTGTGTGTCTGTCTGTGTGAGTGTGTCTGTCTGTGTGAGTGTGTGTGTATATACACATGTATATATATACATATATATATATAATATATATAATATATATATATATATATATGTGTGTGTGTGTGTGTGTGTGTGTGTGTGTGTGTGTGTATATATATATATATATATATATATATACATATATATATACACATATATATATATATTATATATATAAAACTGCCGTATAATTGACCTTTACATGTATTATATATTCTTAGTCAAGGTATTCCCTTTAATCATGCGGTTGAGAAATTTTCGAAAGCTGAAGTGTGGGGTGTTGGACACCGTTCTAAGTTCCGGATACGAGCATGCTTTCCTTGCCATCTAGCGCAGCAGCCACTCTCTCCATTGTGCCACAGTCCGAGAGCGGCAAGTGGGAGCTGGAAGGCGAGTTGCGAGCTGGAAGAACGAGTGGCGGGCTTAGAAGCGGAGGTGCGGCGCCTGGAAGCGTGGAAACGGCAGGCGAGTAAGTGCAATGCAAGTGCCCTGCTAATAGATCTGTACGAATTGAATTAACCATTCTCTTCGTTTGGCTTGGACATTACCCCGATATAACTGAAGTGCCTCGTCCTCGCAGGTGGTGCGGCGGTGGGAGGAGCGTCGGGAGGTGCAGATGACCCTCTTCACCGAGGAGCTCGAGTGCCTTGAGAGGTCGGAAAAGCAGTATCAGGTGAGGCATTGCCTGAGAACCAGGCGTTCTCTGGATTACAAGGTATTAATTTCCTCATCGGATAATATTAATGGAGTATGAGGCTTCAGTCCATAATGGCATCTTTAGGAAGAGGCCATTATGGACAAGGAGTAAATGAGTCATGGCAGTCAGTACATAATTTAGATATAGCATAAGGTTTACTAACAACATATTTATAGTTACCTTTAAGGGAAAAGATGAGTATAGTATAGCCAAATAGATAAATTTACAGCGAGGTTATGAATAAGTTGGTATGGAATAATCTGTACTATCATGGAATACAAATCAAATACTGCATTTGGTGAACCTTTCTTCCCTACCGACTTCCCCTCTCCAGGGCTACGGGCAAACGTAAGTAGACTGAAGAGTTGATTTAGCATGTTAAATCGAAAGTGTCTAACTCCCGTTCTCTTTTTTCCAGGTCCTGATCGAAACATTGCTTGCCAGCAGAAATTCCTAGAACATTTGTATATTTGTAATTATCGAAGTAACACAAATGCACTGGCATCTACTACGTCACTATCAATCGTGTAATAGCAATACCGTGAACCAGTAACTTATTTTGTGCACTATTCTGACATTTGCTACCCTCAAAAATGAAAAGGAACTGTCCACAAAATACGGCTGTAAAAGACACACAGAGTTTTAATAACATTTCATCCTGTCGCTGCATCTGCAATTCGGCATCACTACTGGTCCTGGGCCATCATATTGATTTTGGACCAAGAAACCCAATAACGGTCATTTTAGTGGTTCGCCAAAGGGTCATAATTTCTGAAGACCTTAGTGAACCCATGCACACACATTTACATTTCACAAATGCCAAACAATCAGGTTTCCTCAAACCTAGACCATTGTCCATACACTAAATCGACAATGGGCGAGAACGTATTGATACTTATCAATCTTATCGAGGACATGGCATGGCTGGTAGCGTGTAATACGCAGGGTTGAAGGGGCGGTAACTTCAACTTTTCCACTTACCTCAACTTTCCAATTGGCATAATCTCCTACTTGGTTGGAACTAGAAGTGGGAAGCATGTATCATTCGGAATTGGCGAAGCGGGCATGGTTAGAGTATAGTCAGATAAGAATAGAATATTCAGTTACACAAAATGATTTTTATTATATATTTCAATGAATGAATTTTAAATAGATATTGTATTTAAATCCTTTTTAAAATTCATTTGAGAGTATCCGCGATGTCATCAGGCGTGCATCTTCTAAGTTCCTCAGATAGCGACTTGAGGAAAAATATATAATTTTAGTGTAATAACTAGATAAAGGCTGATATTTAGCACAAATGTAGA